GACTTTGGTACAACTTTAATTAAAAGTAGCAAAATAATTGTTCATGAATGTTTTTTTTTTTTATGTTGGTATGAAACTTTTCTTATTTAAAATCCAAAATAAGAGGATAAAAAAAACAATAAATTTTATTTTTTAATGTAATATTTCTTACAATGTTTGAGCCATTTGGGATTGGGATTGGGAATTTTTTGTTAATTAATATTGGTGTAAATAATTCCTAAATTTAAGGTTTTAATTTTGCCCTAAAAAAGAAGGAAAATTACTTGAATGCCATTCCATTTTATCGGTCCACGATTCCAACGTTCACAACACTCCGTCTCTTTTTGTCTTTTTGCTTTACCCGTTTCCATGCGTACCAAACTCCGTTTACCCTCTTCATTTCAAGACCCTGCATTGGGGCCCACCTGTTTAAGCCACGTTGCAATTCGTCCTCGCGAGTACTGTTGGTCTCCTACTCTCGCGAGTAGTCATTAATACCTTCCCTTCTTATTTCAATTTTTTTTTTTTTGTTTCAGTATTATATAAAATAATTAAATTTTAGCTTTTTCTTAATATATTAAATTTGCAATTTAAGTCGTTCATGACCGTTGTGGATTTCTCAAATCTTCTTTCTCAACTCCTTCTCTCTGTGTTTCTCCGGCGAAACTCTAACGGTCATTTCTTGGAAAACAGTCCAGACTGAGGGTGAGAGCAAAGATTCCAGACTCCTTCCGTTCAGATTCTTCTGAAATTGGTTGTGATTGAGGTTTATTTGTTTCGGTAAGTGCATGATTCTTGATTTGGATTCATGTTGGGGTGATCTGCGGTGTAAATTTAGGGTTTCAGGTTGCGATTTGAACGGGAATAATGGTTGCTGCTGTATCAACGGCGTTGAATACTAATACCGTGGCTCAGACTCCGAGAGTGCCTCACTCTCAAAACCTTACGAGGCCGCCTCTTTTACCTTCTGACTCCGACAATGGTGCAGCGGCTCGACGGCCCAAATCCCGGGAAGTTACTTCTCGGTACTTGTCGTCTTCCACTCCCTCTTCTTCTTCTACATCGGTGCTGAGACGATACCCGTCCCCTTCGGTTTCTGGAACGTCTACTTCGACGTCTGTTCTGACTCCGATGCCGTCGTCGTTTAGGCGGTCGGAATCGGTGGAGAGAACTCAGCGAGGGGCTCCTCATCCTAATTCGTTGGATCTCAGATTTGGTCATGCTAATGGAAGGGGTGAGATGTCAGCAGCTCAGAAACTGTTGTTCAATTCGACACGGAGCCTATCGGTTTCTTTCCAAGGCGAATCGTTCCCTTTGCAGGTTAGTAGACCAAAGCCCGCGCCGACTCCTGGTATTCGGAAGGGTACGCCGGAGCCGAGAAAAATAGCCACACCAACAAGAGGTGCTGGCGGCGGCGACCAGACTGAGAATATGAAGCCAGTAGATCAGCAGCGGTGGCACAGTGGTCACCGGCAGACGAATTGTATGAGCAGGAGTTTGGATTGTGTGGATGAGCGGAAGAAGGTAGCCAGTGGGTCTGGGAATGTAGTGAGAGCGCTGCAGAGTTCGTTTGTCGATGACAGGACTTCATTTGATGGAAGATTTGGTTCTGATTCTGCAAATATAGAATCGGAGAAGGCGGTAGAGCCTCTTACTGCAGGAACTTCGGCTGATAGTTTAGACGTTTTGTCCGACCCTCTTGCTTCTGATTCTGAGAGTGTTACACTGGAGGGTGGTGCCGGAAAAGCACAGCGTGGCCCTCGAGTCATGGTGGTTCCGGCGAGAGTTTGGCAAGAGACCAACAATCGGTTGCGACGGCAGCCAGAGCCGGGGTATCCAATATCTAAGAACATTGGAGCAAAAACTTCAGTTCCTTCGAAGGTAAACATTCCCAAGAAGCATTCAATGGATAGTCCAGCATCATCTCCTCGCCAGGTTGCTAATAATATGGAGCCGCCGTCATCTCCTCTGTCCCCAAGTAAACTTTTAGCATCCTCCATATCATCACCTTCAAAAGGAAGCCCATCTCGTGTGAGATGCTCAGTGACAAATGGGTTCAATAATAACTGGAGCAGCACGCCATCGGCTTTGAATTTTGCTAATGATATTCGAAGAGGGAAAATGGGGGATACCCGTATGGCTGATGCACATTCATTGAAGACGTTGTATAACAGGCTTTTACAGTGGCGTTTTGTGAATGCTAGAGCAGATGCCACCTCTTCTATACAGAGTCTGAATGCAGAGGTATTATTTCTTGAAATGGCCATTTTCTTTGCTTTTTTTGGAGAAGAATTGTTGATCCTTCCATTCTGAGTCCTAATTTCAATCGACCAATTGCCTGCTTTGTATTATAATCTGTAGAGCTTAATTTCAATCAAGGAATCATCATGTTTGCTTATATTGTTTAATTGTTCCTTATGTCAGAGAAACCTCTTCAGTGCTTGGAATAGTATTTCAAAATTGCGTGAATCTGTTGCAGCTAAAAGACATGAGATGCAATTACTACAGCACAAACTGAAGTTGGCTTCTATCCTCAAGTCTCAAGTAAGATATACGGATGCATTTTTCTCTCTTGTTTATCTTGAAAATTATCTGGACATGAGTTCTCTTGAACTTCAAGTTTGCACCTGGGAACTTAGTTAGGTTCATATGTTCTTATTATCGAAGGATTTGATGAATCTTCATTAGATTCTTTGTTGACAATTTTCATTGCTTAGACTGTGGTAGCTATTGTGTTTTACGAATGTAGATGACATGTTTGGACGAGTTGGATCTTCTGGATGAAGACTTCTCCAGCTCTTTATCAGATATCACTGAAGCATTGGAAGCTAGAACTCTTCGCTTGCCAGTTGATGAAGGGGCTAAGGTGGGTGTCTGTGTGTATGGATGTGTACCATCAAGCTTTTTCCTCATTCTTTGTTTATTTATGTATATATCTTTTGGTCACAGGCGGAAATCCAGGATGTCAAGGAGGCAATTTGTTCAGCAGTTGATGTGATGCAAGCAATGGTACCATCCTTAAGCTCATGGCTAACAAAGGTTGCAATCCCACTCTCAGCTGTTTTTCGTTTCTTTATTCATCATTGTCACATCTGATCTTCTAGTAGTTGAATTTTCGGAGAGGAGTTCCACATCAACTAATTAAGGGGTTGATCATGGGTTTATAAGTAAAGAATACTATCTCAATTGGTATGAGATATTTTAGGAAAACTAAAAGCAAAGAGCAAAGCCACGAGAGCTTATGCTCAAAGTGGACAATATCATACCATTGTGGAGGGTCGTGGTTCCTAACATGGTATTATAGTCATGCACTTAACTTAGCCATGTCAATAGAATCCTCAAATGTCGAACAAAGAAGTTGTAAGTCTCAAAGTTGTAGTCAAAAGTAACTCAAGTGTCGAACAAATGTTTACTTTGTTCGATAAGAGGATGGTTGGGAGAGGAGTTGATCATGAGTTTATAAGTAGGGAATACTATCTCAACTGGTATGAGGTCTTTTGGGGAAACCAAAAGTAAAGCCATGAGAACTTATGCTCAAAAGTGGATAATATCATACCATTGTGGAGGGTCGTGATTCCTAAGAACACAGATGAACCCAGTCTTTAAAGTTTTCTTCGGTTTAAACCACACCTGTGAATAATGCCTTGAAATGGATACACACACAGCTTAAACATATGACTAAAAAGCATCTCCCATTGATGATGATAGGTCGGAGAGGTGAACTCTGTGGTATCAAAACTTGCAGATGTTAATGCACATGAGCGTGCTTTGCTCGACCAGTGCAACGATTTATTGTCTACAGTAGCATCTATGCAGGTGTCATTTTGCATCCTATCTCTCTCTTTCTCTCTATCCTGTTTTTTTCTGTCTCTTACATGGAACAAAAAACTTTTCCAGGTAACAGAGTGCAGCCTGAGAACACAAATATTGCAACTAGAACGCCCGCCCACCAGCTTAACCGAACAGGACACCACAAGGGTATAGGTAGCTGACTGTTGTGTTGTGTGCATTATTAGACCGAAGATCTTGCTAGAGAATCGAAATCCATTCTTTTTTTACTTGAATTCATGAAACAAGAAGCAATAATAGATTCATTGACAGTGTTTGGTCATGAGTGAATTATCAAACTTGATAAACATTCATGGATTGAGGAATTGGCATTCCCGTGCCCATGTCTTATCATTTATGGATCCTGTATCGGATATGCAGGTAGAGACGCAATATTGACACACCCGTACCGTCAAGTACTGTCTTTAAAAAACTCATTTTTCAAATGAAGTCGCCTGAGACACTCGTCTTGGAACGCTCACCTTCACTGTGACACACACATGTGTCACAGGGTAGCCCGCCCTCATTGTGACACACAGGGTAGCTCGCTTGGATAGGGCCTATGGATGGTAGAAAGGTGACACCATACCTCCTGTATTGTACATTTTGAGGCATTTTCAAAGTAGCAGGTGTAGACATGATTTTGGTGAACAATGTCGTGAAGTATCCGTTTAGTGTTCGATTGACACCAAATTTGTCAAGCTTTCATATTTCATATGCACGAACTTGACTCTAGAATCGCATGCCCAAATTTCCTCCATAACCCCAATTTTCGAGGTTAAGGTTTGGTTGCATGCCCGCTATGTGTGGTGTGTCTAGAACCACATGCCTAAATTTTCTCAGAACTGTGACTTTCGAGGTTAATGCTCGGTTGCATGTCCACTATGTGTCGTGTGTTGATGCACCGTCTTCCTTAGTCGCATCATGACACTCATCTAGACCCTCGTGTGGTTGGATTAGCGTTACTTGAATGTCGTCACTTCTCTTATCATAATTGCAATATCTAACATAGATGACCAATTTGTTGGTGGAATTTTCGTTGGAAATTTGGTTGTACCCATTCCTCCTAGGTTTGGTAAACTTCCAAGAATATCCCTTTGAGTTTGTTAATTTTCTCACCCACTTGCTGGGTTGGCCTGTGATGATGACTAATCCCTCTTTCAAGTTGCATTATTCAAATAACTAATAATAAATAAAAAAATAAAAACCCATTTTTTTTAATTGAAAAAGAATTAATTGAATTTATGATCACTGATACAGAGTTCCAATCTGAATAAACAAACTCAATTCAACTAATTTTGAATTTCGATTCTAATCCCTCTTTTCCCCAATTCAGGAAAAGAGTCATCCTAATTCAGCGAGTTCTCCGGTTCCGGCAGCCAAAACAACCGCGGCTTCTTCGTCGGCAGAGGGCTCTCCACCTCCTGGTCGCCGGCGAACAACAGCTTCGGCGACAGAGCCGCTGACGCGGGGATATTCAGGTCGAAATTCCGATGGCTATGGCTGACGGTATGTGTCGAACCCACTCCTTCAGACGAAGTCATAGTAATCCCGCTATAGCTCTGACGATTCCCGATGGCGGCAGAGCCGCCTTCATAGTGGCGGCGCTTGTGTCCACCCAAGGCCTGGCCAGTGGGAAACGACTTATGACAAACATTACAGACATGAGCCCTTCCACCAGAGGTAGACGTGGTGGTACTCGACGTGGCACCGGACACCGACGTGGACTGGTCGTCGACAGAAGCCGGTTTCCGGTGGCTAGTTTTGTGGCCACCGAGAGCTTGGTAAGAGGAAAAGGCCTTATCGCAAAGGGGACAATTATAGGCAGACTTGACGGTAGCCACCGGCTTGGGTGGAGAGGGAGAGGCGCCGCCGCGGGCAAGCATGATGAGACAGAGAGCAAGATACTCTTCTTCGGAGGGAGCGGCGTCGAGAGATGGGCGGGGTGAACGCTTGCGCTTGACCCAGGGCTTGAGAGGCTTGTCGAAGGGAGGGGGGGCGGCCATGGTCGGGGAATTGAGAGCTTCGAGCGCCATAGGTGAAGGAAGGGTTTGAATTGGGGAGTTTCAGAGGAATTGAAGAATTGGGAATTTGAGGAGAGAGAGAGAGGGAGGCGGGGGGATTTATAGAGAGAGAGAGAAACAGAGGAAGGAAGTTACGGAGGAAGGACGGCAAACACGTTTTGGTTTTAGATGGCGGCGGCTGAGGTTCACTCCATTTCAGTCAAACTTTTGACCCACCGGCTGCGCTGACTTTTTCAACTACCTTCCACATAATCCTTGACTAACTATATCTATCAACCTAAATAATCTACAATATTACTCCATTTATTCTAAATTATATATATTCCGTTTAAAATTTATATTATTTTCAATTGATTTTATTAAAATCAACACGATTTAAAACATTTTTTCTCTAAAATTTTATCCAAGTAATAAAAAAAAATCTCATTTACAAGTAAAGAAAAACAGAGATGCTCGAAAATGGAGGAATTTAAGCCCAAGATCGAATTCAAGAAACTCATCCTCATAGGAGTGATTTTGTTTCGTTGACTTAGGGGACATCAGCGCATGTTTGAGCTCGTTTATGTGGGAGAAAGATTCGTAGAGTATTATACCCGGGCGAGGTTGGACCAATTTGGAGTAAGCAACCATGACTAATGAGAACCATATTCAATTCCCTAATCTTCAACACCTCTTTAGTTACCAAAGAGTCAAAATCTTCCAGAACCGATTCGTACGTGTCTAGATGCTCTAGACGACATTCTTGCCACCTAACTCAATTAAATGGGTCAAGTTGGATTTGCACGGCTTTAAAAATATTTTTAAATACATAGAAACTTTTTTAAACACTTATTTGGGTCCATGCACCATTTTTAGTGGAAAATGATTCTGGTTCTACTTTTGAATATAAAATATAAGTTATTGAAATAAAATGAACCAACTATGGTGCTTTGTGGGTCAATTATGATAAATCAAGTGTCACTAGAGGTTAGTTGACGACTTTCTAATAGTCCTATATCTAGCAAAACACAGTAATTTTTTTTAAAAAAACGCTCTTGACCATCAAATATGGTGCTTATGTGAGTCATTCTTGTAAATCCATATGCCACCGGAGGCTGACCCGCTAGTGGAGTCGGACCTTCCGAACATAGTACCTCATGAAAAACATTCTAACTAATACAGAGGGGGAGAACCCATAGTTAAATCAACTATGGTGCCTACACGGATCAATTCCATGAGACATAGTATCTGTAATAGATCAAACTCACTATTAACAAATACGGTTTTCTCAAAATTCTCTTACACTTTCTTCTATCCCATCAATACAATACTCTAAAAAAGAAATTGTTATTGAGAATAAATTAAAAAATATAAATTATCTAAAAAATTGTACTCACATTCTCCACGTGGCTTTCTCGAATGTCTCCAAATTTACTGGACCAAATTGCCCTCAATAATTCTCTATTAAATATTTAAATTTTAAAAAAAAGGAAAAATCCACGCTAAACGAGTCAAGATTCAATTTATTTCTCCTTCATTTTGGTTTCTAGTTCCGATCACAACCGGCGATGGAGGCAGCCTCGAATCTCAGTTCCTCACTTCCCCTTTCGCCGTCGCGCTACAGGACCACTGCCGTCTTAACTCCTCATCAACGGATCGCTTCTTTATCCACAGCCGCCGCCGCCGGAGCCCTCCCGTCGTGTCGTACACATTTGGCTCGCCTTCATCAGCGTCGATCCGCGATTTTGCCTCTACGTTGCAATGGTAATTCGAATTTCCGATCTGTTGTGTAAAGTCAATATTCGCCGACGCAGGTCAAAATTGAACTCCTTGCGGTAAGGAACTTTTTAAACGATGGGCAATTTGGTCATATGGGTTCTCCCCTTGTTGCTCCAACTTTTTTGTATAAGAAATAATAAATTAAACCTATGGTTTCCGTATTGGCCGCTGCCTCTCTCTCTTTCTCTCTGGTCTTACCTCCCTTGAACTGGGTTTTGATCGAGTGTCCGGCGGCTGTTTGGCAGTGCGGGAGACGGTGCCGGATCAAGAAATGGCGTCTATTGATGTAGAAGACCCACGCATAGCCAAAATCGCCAAGGCCATTCGAGTTATCCCTGATTTTCCCAAACCAGGTACCCATCTCGTTCTTGGGTGATGGGTATTTTGTTGGTAAAGGCTAAATTTCTTTGGGCTGAACATTATCTTCCTTCTTTTGGTAGGGATTTTGTTTCAGGACATTACGACGTTGCTTCTTGATACCAAGGCCTTCAGGGATACTATTGATTTGTTCGTGGAGAGGTACAGAGGGAAAGATATTACTGTGGTTGCTGGTAAATTCTAGTTTCAAAAGGGTGTCATTTAGATCAGGAAGTAATTTTGTAGTTTAACTTGAAGTGAACCAATTGATCTTGTTTGTTCTGTAGGGATTGAGGCGAGGGGTTTCATTTTTGGACCTCCCATAGCTCTGGCTATTGGTGCAAAATTTGTTCCCATGAGAAAACCCAAGAAGTTGCCTGGTACAATTTTGTGCTTGACTAGCGTTTGTTTGTGGCCTTGTGAATCTATTTATAGTTTCAGCTATCTAGAAACTTTTTAATTTTTAACTAGGTTCTAGCATAATGTTTCTGGATAGGATTGGCTTTGGGCCTTTCCTAGGTAGCTTAGGTGGAGGTGGAGGGTGAAGAAGCCCCCTCTTTGGGATCCGAGTCATTAGTGAGATACCACTCTGGGAAGAGCTAGAGTTCGAACCTTGTGTCAGGACTGTTGGTGACAACAGAAAACTGAATTGAGATTAAGAGGAGGAGTCATTTGAGTGATGGGGAGGGAGATTCTTTTATAGGGGGATTCTCGGAATTGGTTGAGATTTTTGTGGAGATTTTGTAAATGAATTTGAATTCACCTCCTCCTCCTCTTCCGTAACTAATTCAAATTCTATTATTAGCTATTATTAGTTTCAACACCCTCCCTTAAATTGAATTCTGCGGAAATCAGTTTAGGACTTCATTTCATCTTTTTAATATACATCTTGGATTCTGCATATCCCCATCTTTCTTTTGAGCTTCTCGAACAATGGTTGTTTCAAGGGCTTTGTGAATAGGTCTGCGATTTGTTCATCACTTCGGCAAAAGTTGAGTTCAATAATGCCTTTTTGAACAAAACCTTCTGGTTGCTCCACATATACTTCCTCTTGAAGCTCTCCATGTAAGAAGGTTGATTTCACATCAAGTTGATAAATAGGCCAAGATTTCTGTGCTGCAATAGAAATTATGAGCCTGATAGTGTCTTGACGTGCCACTGGTGCAAATACCTCCTTATAATCAATTCCATACTTTTGCTTGTATTCTTTTGCAACAAGTCGCGCCTTGTACTTATCCACCTCACCGTTTTCATTCAACTTGGTTTTGAAAACTCATTTTACTCCGATTGTTTTCTGCCCTCTAGGAAGATCAGTGAGCTCCCAAGTCTTGTTCTTGTCTATGGATTTGATTTCACTGTCCATAGCTTCCTTCCATTTCTTCTCTTTTACTGCTTCTTCATAGACAATTGGATCACTATCCATAAAGAATGCAAAATAACCACTATCACTTGATTCATAATCCATCTCATAATCAATCATCCAGTTTGGTGTTTTTCTTGTTCTTGGATGTCTTTGATTTTGATCATGATCTTCTTCTACTGGTTCTTCTTGTTGAGCTTGTGATGAGCTCTCTCCATGCTCATAGTGAGGCTGAATAGGAGCTTCAGTTTGTTCTTCTTCAAGATCTACAGGAATCTGCTGATTCACAGTGATCTTTTCTTCCCATGTCCAAGTCTTATTTTCGTCAAAGACTACATCACGACTCACCACCACCTTCTTTGTCAAAGGATCGTAGAGCTTGTATGCCTTAGAGGTCTCGCTTACTCCAAGGAACACACACTTCGAACTCTTGTCCTCAAGTTTCTTCCTTTTCTCATCAGGAACGTGTGCATATGCTATGCACCCAAAGATTCTGAAGTGGTCTACTGCAGGTTTTCTTCCGCTCCATGCTTCTTGTGGAGTCATATCTCTAACAGAAAAGGTAGGGTTCCGATTGAGAATGTGAACGGACCACACAACAGCTTCTGGCCAGAATTCATTCGGGACTTCTCCTTTATTTAGTAAACTTCGAACCATGTTCAGAATGGTCTTGTTTTTCCTTTCGGCCACACCATTTTGTTGTGGTGTATATGCTGTTGTTAATTGCCTCCGTATGCCGTTCTCTTCACAAAATTGGATTGATTTTTTTTCTTCTTTTGGAGCCTGGTATAGCATTCATTTTTGTAATGTCCAAGGCGTCCACATCTGTAACATTCCACCTTAGACTTGTCAAAGTGTCTCTTGCCTTTGTTGTCATAATCGTTTCTGACTAGGTCTGCTGACCTGCCAACATCTCCACTTCTTTCTCGACTGCCTCTCTCACGACCTCTGCCTCTTCTTTGGCTCTTCATAACCTGTTTCCACCATATCAAAGAACTCCTTTGATCTGAGAAAATTTTCCATCAACATCGCCCAATGATCATAGTGACCGTCGAACCTTGGGATGGCGGGCTAAACGTAGTTCTCAACTTGTTTTGCTGCTGCCATTTTTGCTGCTGCAAGATCGCTCTGATACCAGTTGTTGGTGACAACAGAAAACTGAATTGAGATTGAGAGGAGGAGTGATTTGAGTGATGGGGAGGGAGGTCCTTTTATAGGGGGATTCTCGGAATTGGTTGAGATTTTTGTGGAGATTTTGTGGATGAATTTGAATTCACCTCCTCCTTCTCTTTCGTAACTAATTCAAATTCTATTATTAGCTATTATTAGTTTCAACAAGGACCTACGCGCGAAGAAGGCCCCTGGAGCTATCAGTAAGATACGACTCTAAAAGAGCTAGAGTTCCGGTGGGTCTGAGCTATCAGTGAGATACCACTCTGGAAGAGCTAGAGTTTTAACCTTATGTCAGGACCTACGGGTGAAGAAGGCCCGCTTCCGGGGGGCCTGAGCCATCAATGAGATACCACCCTGAAAGAGTTAGAATTGAGCTAGAATTCTAACCTTGTGTCAGGACCTACAGGCGAAGAAGGGCCCTTTCGAAGGGGCCCGAGCCATTAGTGAGTTATCACTCTAGAAGAGCTAGAATTCTAACCTTGTGTTAGGACCTACGGGCGAAGAAGGCCCCCTTTTTTGGGGTGGGGGAGGGAGCCATCAGTTAAATACCACTCTGGAAGAGGTAGAATTCTAACCTTGTGTCAAAACTTACGGGTCAAAGGACAATCTCAGGTAGACACTTTCTATGGGGCGTAGGCCTCCCAAAATGTAATGGAGGCGTGTCAAAGGTTTCCTCGGGCTAGACAGAGATTGGCCCTCGAGTGCTAAATACTCTTCATGCATATGCTATTAAGTTTAATGTTTGCTATCTTTAACCCGATGGTAAAGAAGCAAGCAATCTGCATGCCTTAGACGTATTCTAGTTTCTAATGCAAGAAACTTGGAGCCTTTAATCGATGTTCCAAGTTACTTTGGTACAATGATACTCAAGAAACTGGATAGTGGCTATTGTGTTGGATTGTCATGGTTAATTCATCTTTGAATAAACATGTAAATAATGATTCTGTTTCTGAAATGCATGTTTACAGGTGAAGTCATTTCAGAAGAGTACTCTTTAGAGTACGGAACAGATAAAATTGAGATGCATGTAGGAGCTGTTGAAGCTGGAGAACGCGCTCTTGTGATAGATGATCTCATTGCAACTGGGGGAACCTTGTGTGCAGCAATAAGACTACTTGGTAGGTTATTTTTAAAGCCAACTTGTTATATTACTTTTTAGCTGATAATGCACAGGCCAGCTAAATAAACCAGCGATGCATTGCGTTTTTACTCTTATTTACTCGATGTCATTATCATGGCTGTGATTTTCAAACTTGCTCAGTCCTAGGCCTCAGGTTATTCATTGAATATGGTTAACTGTTATTGTGATTGTGCGAGATTTGCTCAGTTTCATTCTTAAGTTGCTGAGAATCTGCTGAGAAATGATTATTCTTTTCCAACTCATGGCTGCACTATAGATGGATCCCACATTGGTTGGGGAGGAGAACGAACCATTCTTTATAAGGGTGTGGAAACCTCCCAAGCAGTTGCATTTTAAAAACCTTTAGGAGAAGCCCGAAAGGGAAAGCCCAAAAAGGACAATATCTACTAGCGGTGGGCTTCGATCATTACAAATGGTACCAGAGCCAGACACTGGGCAGTGTGCCAGCGAGGATGCTGGGCTCCGAAGGGGAGTGGATTGTGAGATCCCACATTGATTAGAGAGAGGAAGGAGTGCTAACGAGGACGCTGAGCCCCGGAGGTGGGTGGATTGTGAGATCCCACATTGGTTGGGGAGGAGAATAAAACATTTTTTATGAGGGTGTGGAAACCTTTTTCTCGCAGATACGTTTTAAAAACTTTGAGGTAAAGCCTAAAGAGGACAATATTTGCTAGCGGTGGGCTTGGGCCGTTACACTTACTATTTTAAACTTTTCTTTAAGAGTGTAAAGTTATCTTGTTCATGATCTCATGTTGGTTATATTAATCGGTTGTTATTTATTTATGACAGAGCGAGTTGGCGTGGATGTGGTCGAGTGTGCTTGTGTGATTGAGCTGCACGGACTAAAGGTAAGCCTTTGCAAAAATCTGAGAACAGATCAAAACCTAGTAGACTACTAGTTACAGAACTTCCCATGGATTCTGTCTAGTTGTATGTTTATGACGTGATGAGTACTCTTGTTAAGGTAATCAAACATTCACAACTCTCATTTTCTCTAGTCTCGAAACCGACTTTAGCCATTTCTTCGTCTTGAATTTTATCAGGGTCGTGAAAGATTGGGAGACAAACCTCTGTTTGTTCTAGTTAACGCAGCAGCATGATTGCAGAGCCTTCTTCTGTAACACGACGTGTTCGGTGATGACAATATTAACACGTACCGCTGCTAGAAGTTGAAGTTTCAAAGTAATGCATAATTTTGAAGCCGAGAGTGTTGCTAGAAATAAAAGGGATGGTAATAATTTTGAATATCTGCAGAAACTTCTTTATTTTGAAGTTAAGTAGTTTATGTCTTTCTTTCTCTGAATATGCCTTATTTGAATGAGTTTATAATGATCACTCTTTTCCTTGGCCAATGTGAAACCTTGTATGTACTCCTAGCAATCTTCCCCCTGAAGGTAGTACCTTTTTAGGCTTTTTTGTTGACTTGATCCGACCAATATCCAATCACATTGTGGGATATTCCCTAACGGTGACGATCACCTATCGCATTGTCTACCTCCTCCCCCTCGAACGAAGATCTACTCCTCTATTGGGGAGTATTGATGAGTTATTACTTGCTTGTCACCTAAATTACTTTTTTGTTTGATGAGGGATCATCCTAACGTTTTATGAATGTAAAGTGGTAATGGTCCAAGCCTAGGGCTAGCAGATGTTGTCTGCTTTAACCCGTTATGTATCATCATTAGTTTCACAGTTTTAAAACGCAAAGAGGACATTAGGCATAATGTTTATGTATCTGCTAGCTCATTGAGGTCACGTATAGTTGTTAGCTCAAAAAGAACTATATTGGTCATTGATGGACTTGAGTTGTTACAAATGTTCACTAAGTGTCTTTATTTAGAACTTAAAATATCTTCGAAACACCATTTGGACATTCAAAAAGTTTTAGGATTCTTTTAGGAGATGTAATGGTCTAACTTTACCGTTAGTAAATATTGTCATCTTTGGGTTTTTTCTTTCGGACTTTCTCTCAAGGTTTTTAAAAAGCATCTAGGGAAAGATTTTCATACCCTCGAAAAAGTATTTCATTCCTCTCTCCAACGGAACTTGGGATCCCACATAAGCTCTCTTTCCTTTTCTTTTAGCTTTTGTCGTTTTTCTTTATATATATATATATATCAAAACAGACTTCTTCTTCTTCTTTTTTTTTTTTTTTTTTTTTTTTTTTTTTTTTTTTTTTTTTTTTTTTTTTTTTCTTCTTCTNATCCCACTTGAAATTGAATTATAAATTTAAATTTAATGTTTTAGATTAAAAAAAATAAATATTTTTGAATAAAAGAGATAAAAACAATCTAATTCAATCCAATTTAATATATTTTATGTTGGATCGAATTTATTATTTAATAAAACTTATTTGAATAGAATCAAAATATATCTAAATGCCATAAGTGTGCTTCGTCTACTTCGTCTAGAAGACTCGAGACATACTAGAATTTAGAAAAAAAAAAAAAAACACAACCAAAAAAAGATAAGTCATTAATTAATATAAAGGAATAATTTAGGTGAGAATTAAGAATTGATACATTTATTAAATTAGAATTATCTCGATACAAGTTTCTTCCCTATCCATATAATTTGTTTTTAATAATCGGACGACTTGACATTAATATAAATAAATTATCCTTTTTTTCAAAAAAAAAAAAACACATAATAATTAATGATATTAGTTTTCTATATATATAAACAATTTAATATACATTAGAATAGTCCATTCCCTGATAATTTAGAAACATAAGATAATTAAAACGTTAATTAACAAATATGTGTTCAATATTTAAAGCTTGCATGAATAGTGCTGTTTATAGATTAATTCATTATGTGTCATTTCAGCCTTAAATAAATATATTTTTTTTCAATGTCGGAAAATTACGAGAATGTGTATTTTCTATTTTTTTTTATTTAAAAAATATTCATATAATTAGCCGTCTTTTATTATTATTTAAAAAGTATTCAAACTTCTAACTTTTCAAAATCTATAAATTACCTAACGCAATTTGAAATATTAAAAGCTTTAATCGTAAAATTGTTTAGTTTATATATCTCTAATATGTTTTGTTTCAGTCACATTTGTAGCGGTTATCAATAAAAAATTAATTAGTATTTTTTGTGGTTCTTTTATTAGATTTAAAAATTATGTTATAAAATTTTGTTCATATGGATTAATTTTATATTTTATTGTTTAAATTCTTTTATCAACGAATAATATTTACAATAAGGTGGTTCACATAACATGAGTAAATCAACATTTAAAAATAAATGTATACATTAAAAAGTTTTTTTTAAATGACTATTTTTAAAAAATAATAATAAATAGAAAAAAATATCCCGCAGAAAATTTCTAATCCAATCATCACGAAAATAAATAGAAAAATATTTCTAATCCAATCATCACAAAAATAAATAGAAAAATTTCACAGGGACCGAAGATGAAATAAATGATAGGGACAAGATTAGGGAAAGTTTTCTCATCCCGTCCTATCCAATAAACATCTCTAATTATAGCGACTGACTAAAAAATTGAAGAGTGCACTTAATTTTTTGGGAGGGAAAAAATATCAAATTTATAGAAAATTTAAGTCTACATTTATATGCATAAATGTTAGCATGAATGTGCTAATAATACTTTACAATTCTATATGATTATTATGTGGGTAAAATAAAGGATCTTCGTGGGTCGCTCCCTCTTATATTTTGATGTTATTATGAACTTATTAGAGAGAGGTCGACTATCCTAATAGTGTTCTTGTCTCTGGTGATAGTTTCCATAATGGTACATTAAGAGTTTTTAGAGTTCCGAGCTATGGTGACATATAAAGACGTAATCAAACTACTCTTGAACCTAGAAACATCCCATCCAAGAGAGTGGGTTTCAAGGAGCTGATGAACCAATATGAACGCTGTTAGAGCAAAATGATGAAAAAGTTTAGAATTAGAACACTAAAATATGAACGCTATTAGAGCAAAAGGATGAAAAGTTTAGAGTTAGAACACTAAAATGAGCTTAAGCAAGTTAGTAAAATCTAAATGCTAGTTTTAAAAAAAAAAAACTTATAACTCGTGTATATTTAGGTATAAGCAAGACTCATGAGTAAGTAAAGACATGTATGAATTTTATGATCGTTTAAACGAGCTATCATAGTTTCTTATGATATAAGACACGATTGTTGAGCTCCAATAAATTGTGTCACATTTTTGTATGGATCGATAAAGAGCTAGTTATGTTATCTAATGACTCGAACAACCCTAAGAGATTGATGAAATATTATTAAGGAATGAAAGTAATAATATAAACTTAAGTGAGTCAAGAACTTCAAATAACTCAAGGTAAGGTTAGCGAGTCCTATCCATAGTAGAAAACCTATAATCAAGAATATAGGTTATTATTATTAGAGGCGTATTAGTTAGACAAATGATATGTTTATAGGTTCAGTATAAGAAGAACGTGTAATTAAAGGTTTATAGACGAACTACTTAATGAGTATATTTACGTATTCACTCGTGTTCTATAGGACGGCTACGAGGAAAGAGTAACATTATAAGTGATTTGTCTCGTTAAAGAGTAATGCAACAATATCTTAGCTCAACCCAACATCACATTAATCTAAACATTGACTTACGCATCGAAACATGTTAAACATAACACTATATCATCACGAAGATGGAGCTGACGTAGATTTTAAGATTAGATTTGATAAATAAAAATGCTACTTTCTAATAATAATTTATAAAATATATAGTAATATAAAAATAGGAAATGGAGAAAAAGAGGAATTACACGTGGAACTGTTGAAGAATGCGAATCCGAGTTGGCCAAAAAATTGAACACAATGCGAGAGTCTTGGAGAACCAATTTCGCTTTCTCATTCCCACGTGGAGAATCAACCAAGACGAAGACCACACACACGTGGAAGACCCCTACACACCATGTCCACGTACGCACATTAAACAAATCCAAACAAAATACTTCAAAAATACGGTTTCGGTTTGAAGCCGGTACGTAGAGTGTTATGGACTCTTTTTCTTTAAATTGAAGCTCCGTTATTGTCTCCGAAGGAAATATTGAATATTTAAAAGAGAATAGCTTTTCGAAACTGCTATAGAACACGAATGACAAGTTGCTGGTAGTGTTCCGACGTCGGTCGAACGAAAATTGGATACCATTTTTAGGTGTTGACTATCAATCATACGTGTCGAAGTCATCGCAATATCGAAACAATATCAACCGTCACTCAATTTCTTTTTCACCCGTATTTCAAACGGGCCAATTAAATTATATATAAAATAATTTAAAAATTGTGAGGCGGAAATTAATATTGTGAAGGCGTGGGTTTGGTTTGAAAGGTCGTGCAATGGGCGGCGCAATTCCCGAAGATAAAAGAAAACGAGTGGTCCGGCGAATGCGCCGGAATCTGCGGCGGCGAAGAATGACGACACTTTTGAATAACGGACCCCTTCCCTCCTTCCATCATGGGGTCCTTTTACAATATTGTGATATTTCGAGGGCCTAAATGAAAAATCAAGACTCCATTATTTTATTTATTTTTTTATTTAATAAAATCTTGTCGGCAAGCTGATTCTCAAGCATAATTTTAATTAATTGAATTTTTTTAATTCAAAATAATTATAATAATGTATAGGGTAGTCCTGCTTCTAACCATTATTATATGCCACGTGTTTGACTTATGGATTAAGCTTTAATAATAATCCAATTTTAAAAGTCAAACTTATATTTATTTATTCTAAACAAATTTAGATAATTAATTTATATATTATATTATGTAATTTTACTTCGATTTAGGCCAACATGGTAAGTGACTTTATTATTGATTTGGTTGGATGGCTTGATTGTTGTATGAATGACGTGTACCTTATTATCCTTGCACATGTCATGATTTTATGATTGCTTGATGTATGTGATGTTGTGTTTATGCTATAACGACAGATATGATATGAACAAGTTATGCTATGTTATCAAATATGTCATGAATGGTTATGTTATCGATGTTGTATGATGCATGAACCTCTATATGCTATGTAATAAATTCACTTGTGGCTTATGAGACATTAGAAAGCATAAAGGCATGTACATTAACTGCAAAAGATATGACAAGTAATTTTCTTTTAATGGTAGCCGTTAAGTTATGAAAGAAATAGAGGTATGACTTGCATTCTACGTATTTATCAATGAATTGATGTTATGTGACCTCATGCATATTGTATGTCACATGTATTGAGATATTTCTTCATTATTAGACGCGTATATTATAATATCTATATTTTTTCATGATATTATACAGACTCCTTTTTCTTTGTGGTTTTGACATCGTGAGTGTGCACTAGATGAAGGGCAGACCTACACT